ACCGTTTTCCTTTCGAGTCGAATTTAATTTTCAGTCTCAGCTTAGATCTTAATTTCGGGATTATATTCATAAACCTACGATTCGTCATCAGTTATGATAGTTTTTAAAAATGCTTTGTTGCTTAATTTTTTCTAACATGACAAATGCGACGAAGCAGCTTTTCGCTATGTCAGAAGATAACTTTAAAAAATGTTTCGAACAGTGGAAGCAGAGTCGGGTTTAGTGTGTGGTTGTAGAAGAAAATTTTAAAGAGGATTAAGTCTCAAATCTGTAAGTCTTAAAAGTTTTTTTTTAAATCAATACAGTCTGATTTAAATTTAATTTAAATAAATACTTTTAATTCCTTCTCGTATATTATTATTTTTCGAATAAAAAAAGTTTAGTAAAGAAATGTTGTTTATATTTAAAGCCTTCGCACTTTCGCTCGTACTTTCGCACGTTCTTAAGGCGACAAATTAGGATGACAAATCAATATTCAATGATATTTCTATGATCAGGTACTTCGTTGCGATATTATTTTACGTCGTTGTAATTAAAATTGGAAAGGCGCGCTCTAAATGAAATATAAGATGTCGCCCAGCTCCCGGCTTTAATTTTAATGACAGCTTTTTTATTAATACAACTTTTTGTAACTGAAACTCCGAGGTGCCATCAATTTTCGAATTACCAGTAAATGTAAATGAAGGACTTTTCGCGAATTTTTCGCCATTGAAGAACAGTCGAGTAACAAAACCTTATTGTTCACTTGACTCAAGTCAAGTGCACTTGACTCGTTAGAGTTTTCTTTTCCCCTTTAAACTCAGAATGCTTTAGTTATGGATATATTTAATATTAAATATTGCGAAATTGTTTCCCTCGAAATTGCCATTGAAGAAAAGAAATCTAAATTTCGTCGGAAAAATCTGTTCCAAAACTCTTTGTATTACATTCGAGAATTAATTAATTTGCGGTACCTTAATCTTAGCAACAAATTCACTCATTATCCAAAAAATATAACAATTGCATAAAATGTGTGCTACTGCAACACGAAAATTAGCCGACTTGATTAATTTGCATTTTGCAAAACGTTCTGCTGAGTTTTCACAATTTTATTTGTCGGTCAGAAAACGCGAGTAGCATTGTGGAATTTTTCAAGGACTACTTCCGAGCCTTTTTGATTATTAAAAAGGACGAACAGAGGTGATCCTACATCGCGATGTTTGTGAGATTGCCTCGTTACGGACTTATTACCATTCTGAAATGTTTGACTTGATCTTAAGAGGCAAGGGAAAGGGCGGGAGAAGTAGATGGCAGCGACCACTCTTCGCGGCGAGAGTACGTGATGCGCGGGGGTGGCATATGGATTTGTCAAAAGTAGTTGTGAGCTTGTTTGCGAGTACAGCTTAACATTCTCTCCACGTGATGCGGTAAATCCGTCGCCGAGGGTGGGAGTATGAGCCCTTCAGCGCCGATTCAAAGATACGGACGCGACGAAACCGGGTCAGGGGTCCTCGACGAGGCCTCCCACGGGCATAAATGAGGTTCTTCTCTCGATGCCCGACGATGGAACTTCGACAGCCGATCTTCCACATTGGGAAGCATCCGGACGGCGTCTTGTCAAAGCTTTAATCGAGAGGGCGACCTTGCGCGTCACACGACGATGATTCGCAAAATGGAAGATCGATCTTTAGAATAAAAATTTCAAGAGCATTTTTCGAGTGCCCTCGATAGCTGATGATGTGATAGGAAGTAACTTCACGTGTGAAAAAGATTGCATGATCGCGAATAATGTGGGTATAAAAACGGGCACTTCCTGTGCTGATCGAATGTTTCAATCGACTTTTATAAATGCTTTATTACATCTCGATTTTGATTGTGTCTTTAGAGATTTGAATAGATCCTCATTTTCGAGAAAGAATGTTACGCCTGAGAGAAACTTTACGGTTATCCTATTGCTATTCGCGCTATAAACTTTTTGATCCTATTAATAAACGATACTGGCTGTTTTTGTGTCAGATTCACAAATTATATTTCAGCAATACTTAAAAAAAATCTACAGAAAGAATCATTTACTGAATATAAACAGGAAATATTTTGCACGCAGTATTTCAATTTATTTATTTAATAGAAAAATACGTGCGCGGTCAATAATTATCGTTCTTATTTTTGCAATAGCATATCAATTCATATGTATCGATTTAAACTAGTTTAAAAAAATAATTAAATTAACAAACAATTAAATTAACAAACAACGATATTGAATAAGAATCGGTAAATATTCCACATAAAATGCTAGAATAGCCTTTTTCAGACTTTCCTCTGGTTAGGCAAAGCCCCATGTATAAAGAGTCGAGTGGATCTCGACCATGCCTGAAGGCTTGTAGAACGCTCAATAACTATTTTCCGAGGTCTGGCGGTTGTTAAAATACGCCCGAAGCGCCTCGATGCCTATTTTCCGCAAAAATGCAACCATAATTGCAACGTTTCACATTTTATAATTCTCGCTTCCGTACTAATTGCATATGTGTAAAAGAATAAAAAAAAAGTACAAAAGTGAAAAAAATTAATTAATTATAGTAATAAAGTAACGAACGCCGAGCTTCTCCTGTCCAAGTAGTTACGCAATTACCGGTATTGCACGCTAAACGACTGCGAGACGGGTGTACATCGATATTTTATTTACGGAGAGAGAGAGAGAGAGAGAGAGAGAGAGAGAGAGAGAGAGTAGTGTGTGTGTGTGTGTGTGTGTGTGTGTGTGTGTGTGTGTGTTATAGCGTATCTTTGTACACGCTGAAAACCCCGTGTTGTACGTTTAAAACGATGATGGAATAAATGGCACGCGGCACGTACGAGGCGCATGAAGAAAATATAACAACAAACCGTATAAAATATTTCGCAAAGTTGTCGGCGTATGTCCGTCTATTTCTAGTCCGCGGTAGACGGGTTATCAGGCCGCTTCATCTCGTTACGGCCGGAGAGAAGAAACGTACGCGACAGTCACCTTATTATTTATTGCGTCATAAAAGGTCGCGGCGACAAGCGTGGCGCACTTCGTCTCGGGTAGAAAATTTTACTTTCCAGATGCAAGGAGCCTCCCTCTTATGTCAGTGATACCTCTGGAAAAAGCTTTCTTCCCTTTTCTTTTTTTTTTATTTTGCGACCCTAACTAGTTTGATCGTCGGCAATTTATCTTCTACTTTCCTACATTCTTTGTATATTTTCCGTTTTACCTCTATATTAATTTTTAGACGTGTAATTCAATATTTGCTACATTGAAGTGGGATATCGGAAAAGCTTTACTGTCGATTGTTCTTTTTTTGACAATTGGATTAAAAAAAAAAAACAAGAATATTATTATGGCCAGTAGACCAGCAATACTTTTGCAATTGTCAACTCCGAACAGTTGCAACATATGGTCCGATAACCTTCAGTGGAAACGTGGTTATGTAAATTACATTTGACACAAAACCGCTACGTGCGCAAGCTAGTTTCACCGATAACGGCGAATCGTTTTTCGATCACAATTTGCAAATAATAGATACAGCAGCTCGTAGTTTGTCGCCTCCGGCATCTCGATTTGCTTATATGTTCTATCGTAAAAATTCCTCGTCGCTTTCACACAAGTACGTGCTAATTTCGTTTTCAAAAGAGTGATAAATCAACAAATGTATTAAAAATTATTATTTAAAAACATATATTTATCATATACTTTTTACAACATCGAATCGTTATATTTATCGAGATCCGAATTGCCCGACCACTTAAAATTTCCGAGCACTACAGATATTGGATTGTGTAATAAATAATTTTGTATATTTAAATAATTTCGTATTTTTTACACAACATGAAAAAATTGTGATAAAAAACGTGATACTGAATTTGATTACAACTTCGACAAACAAATATTTAATTTACGTGTCAATTAAACTACATTTTGCCTTAGAAAAAAATAGACAAATTAATTTAAAAAATCTGTAGTTACTTATTACACGAGTCAATAATAAATGAATGATAAATGATTCACCTTAAAGTTGCTCTGTCAAAGCCCGATGCCCGAGTCTTGTCCTTTTTCAGCTATCCATCGATAACTGCTCTTTCCTTGCCTCACTCACAAAAATATGATCATCGCGCGATATTTTGCACGGCATTAAGGATATTCAATGACACGAATTTTGTCATATCACGACAAAAAAATTCGATAAAAGTACGATATTGCGTGAAGTTACGACCCCTTCGGAGCAGGCAAGCGGCAGACGGATATCGACAATCGCGTAGTTAATTTTATATGTTACTCGTCACAGTTATACTAAACTAAAAATATTTTCACAAGCTTCCGCGCTTTTCCGATATGAAAAATAAGATATCTACGTTTCGAAGTATTTTAGAGTGTTTTATTTTCTATTATAATAAATTAATAAAAAAATAGTGCAAATTAGAATTAAAGATATATGTTTGCACGGAATAAAATATCTGAGGTGCTAATTACGCGTCAATTAATCGAGCAAAGTGAGTTAACAATTATTTTATATTTAGAATATAATTTTATAATATTCGTCACAATTGCGATGTAAGAGATAATACGGAACGGTTCTTACCGGCTGTCTTCTAACCCGCTTGAGCATGCCGGCGTGCGGGATAGCAAAATCATAGCGCGCGACGGACGGCACACTGTGCTTATGCTTTTCACGACATAAGACGTTGTGTACGCGCGCTGTTATCTGCGCGCCCTGTCCTTCCTACTCACCCCATTATTCGCACGATAGTACTGAAGCGAAGCAACAGCGGAAATTGTTACGTATCAGTATTATATCTCAAGTAACGTATTATATCTCGTCAGCAATCGTCACATATTTCCGACGAATAATTCCGACAAATTGTTGATTTATTGATCGCACGATTAATTAGTACCCGCGATTAGCAATTCAGATAGTTCATTCCGTGCGAATATATATTTTGAATTGTAACAAATAAATTTTTAATTGAACGTATTTTTAATTGTACAATTTTTTTTTTTGTTACAGCGTCGCTACGTGTCTGCTCCGAACAAGTCGAACATGAATGCCGGACGGATTGTAATTTCGTATTTTTATCGAGTTTTTTCTTTGCCGTGACAAGGTTCGCGTCGGTTAACATCGGTAGTGCCGTTCAAAATGTCGCGTGGTCGTCGTATTTTCGCGAGTGTGACAAGGAAGGAGCATCCATTGATGGGCTATTGGAAGAAGAGGAAACTCAGGTTTTGACAAAGCAGCTTTAAGGTGAGTCATTTATAATTTATTTATTATTTGTAATGCTTGAAAATTTCAGATGATCAAACAATTCGGACAGATTCGAAATGATCGAAAATTGATTGAAATACATATTCATTAATTAACAAAAATTTAGAAATATAATTTTGAATATATTTAAATTAATCTTTCAGCTAGCTTGTCTCACATACATTTATATTATTACGCATTTCACAAATTTTATATACGAACTATAACAATTTCTGAATTTTTGAAAACTTGAAGTTAGTTCGAATAGTTTGAACTATTCGAATATATTTTGTGCTCGATAGGTCTAAACTATTTGGCGTTTAATATCCAAATCTGAACTATTCGGACTGCTTGACCATCTAAATTTTTCGAGCACTACTGAAAAGTGTATTGATTATGTAAATAATATTTTTACAAATGTTTATAAATGGTCGACATCACAAAATAGTCGTAATATTTAAGTTAAAATCAGTGTCAAAAATATTTAATATCAAAGTTGTAATATTGATTAGTAGATGGTATTTCAATATTATTTAGGTATCGTTAATATCTCTAGACATACATAGACGCGAACGTAGATGTGGTAATTTAACCGTGAACTACTGCGAAATTCTGCAGGGATGAATTCTCACCAACCAGATGCGCGCTTAGAAGTTTTATGAACAAACTGGAATTTTGCGCTATTAATTGTCTCGTTGGCATTAACAGGAAATTATTTACACTGTGTTTCAGAACAAATGGATTTGTAAATAAAATTTTTTGTTATGAAGAATTTTTGAAGAATTTTAAACAATCTAAAAAAATTATTATTGTTACTTCTATATTTTATATGTAAAATTTTACAAAAAGAAGAAAAATTTTATCAAACATAAGATCAGTCAATGAGAAATTGATTTTACATAAATTGAATTTGTCACTAAAAAGTTGACATCCCGAAAAGTTCTGGAACACCGAATAGATATAAATTTATCGGTCGAAAACGTAAATCCGATGGGTAATTTTTATCGAAACGGGATCATCAGCACAAAAAGCACAGACATGAGTTAAAGATCTTATCGAAATGCGAGTATTTCGGATGGATTTGTTTTCAACAAGTGGTTCGAACCATTAGTAGTGTTGAAAACTCGCGAATATCGATAGTTCGTTCCGCTTACCGCAGTGCTGAAAAGCGAATGTCTCGTTAAACCAAGCTACCAATTCTGTCTGTTGCGATCAGGGGAACAATCTGCGGATTTTAACTTGTACGGTTTACTAGGATCTCTTGAAATAACACAGCGTATTTGTGGCGTCACAAATCGTACAAGTTAATCGCAAATTTAGGAAGTTGCAAGAGCAAATATCTTGATAATTAAGTTTTATGGTAAATTTTTTAAGAGAAAATCTTTATAATTAACCGAGAGAAAGATTTTATTATATCTGCTTACATCCTTGTGTAAAATTTAATTTTTTATCATTATCTACATTAATTTGGTTAGATAATTCAGAATTTTGCTATCTGTATATTTTAAATAATTGCCTTTTTTAAATTCATCCAACGTCTATATAATTAAAAGAAACTCGATTCTTGGATATTCTGTGTAGTAGTCCCTCGAGATATATTGCAGAATTCCTTTGTAAAATAGTGCACATTTTACAGCAGTGAAGAAAGATAAAGCAAGCATTTTGATAAAGTAAGGAAATGCTAATATGATTCCACTTACATTATCGTTTGAAAAAGGAAGAAGACGACTAATAATAGCTATAAAACTGAAAAGTGCTCGGGTTTCCGATAATTCTAAAGACGTAGATTTCGACAGAAGATATCAACCGACTGTACGCGTACCTCGTTCTCGAGTTTAATTATTTTCGCGCGCACGCGAGTCATACAACTTCGTGTTCGTTTGCGGGAGCGTGATGTCAATAGCGGGCGCCGTCAACCTTCGTGGCTGAAAGCCATTAATTTTAAAGCCACGTCGGAATGCTTATCGGACGAGCAAGCCGCCGCTGCGTTCGCGGAAGAGAGACGGAGAGTTGGACAAGTATGAAACGAGTAAACCGGTAGCGGTATTCATGTTCGCCGACCGGCGATGCAAACGAACGGTTCGATTTAGAAGCGCTTATATACAACCGTCGGAAAACGAAGTTGCCGTCTTGTTAATAATACACATGGAGCGGCGTTCACTCGATTCTATTCATATCGCATGGCCGGCTGGGATTATTCGGGTTGAGCGAAAAATATTTCGTAAACTACCTTTCGCGCTTTTAGCATTTACACTTTTTCTTAAAGATGACAAATTGCTGGCGAATTTTCAATTTTTCGCGTTAAATTGCTCGAAAATTGGAACGCCAGCAAGACCGTATGAGGAGACATTACTTCTGCGAATTGGTGTGCGGAAATGATATTGACGAGTCTCGTTTGACGCGTTGCGCTTTGCGCCACCAAGCACCGAGTAAAATTACTAGAAAATAAAATGCCATAAAATATAGCGTGTGTCTATCAAACTTGATGAAAACGGGTACAGCCGGAGGCAATCTTCTAAATTGAAATTTCGAAGCACACTCGACAGCTTTCGTTACATATTCTAATGCACGTCCTACGTGCATCCGTTGAATCTTGATTTATGGCCAACGATGTATGGTTTTCGCGAGCGCTTCATGCGGTATTTTCTAATTGAAATAAAAAAATTTGCGCTGAGAAAATTGATCGATGTCAATTTCGTTGGGCGCACGTGAAATTCAATCTCGAAAACGCAAACATTACCTTATGATTTGTATTTCACTGAACGAAAGATGAGGATGGCTCTTTTGTATTTACCGAACAAATATCGCAAAAGCGATCAACAAGCTCGATTACTCGTTTGCATGCGAGTGAAATAACGAACACATATTCGACAGCGATGGAGTCGAAATGAAATGAGTCGACATTATGATTTTTTAGAGATGTGACGTGGGAGAAGCAAATACGTAAAACAGTGATTTTTACAGAAAATAGCTATTATTTTATTAACATCTTGGAATAATTTAGTTTGCAATTGATGAGAGAGAAAGAGAAAGAGAGAGAGAGAGATTCTTCAAGAAATATTATGAGTTATTAGTGATGTATTGATTTCTTTATACCGGTAATTACATTTTTTCACGTAAAATTATTGAATTCTAAATTTCTGCATAAAATTTAACAAAGAAAAAAACTTAGGTTTATTAATATTGTACATTATAATTCAGAATTTTTGAATATTTAAGTCGATCATTCCATTTCTTACTCTTTTAATTATCTCAAAACTCACCTTTAAATGTAGAATACTTCGTCGAAAGAACTTGCTCTCTGCAACAAAAAGAATAACAACAAGTTATTAGAAAGATGTTCAAAGTTACTTATGTCTGTTTGAGATAAAAATATTTTGTTTCATTCGGCATAGCTCATTACTGTTTGCGTGACGTTAAAAGTAACGTTTTCTCTATTTTCTGAGAAAACATTTCTTTGTAGGATTAGAATTTTATCTTTTTACGGTGTGACGGATATTTGTGATTTAGAATTGATAACATTTTATTTAACGGAAATCATAAAGAGGGATATTGAAAATAAAGAAAAGAAAAAGATGTACGAGGTCTAGATTACACAATAGGATTTATGTTTAACTGCTTTGCCGGGCCGAGCCCGTAAAAACGCCGGAAAGAAACGGACGCTCAGTTCCTCGAATAGGTTTGGGGATCAAGCGGAGGAAAAGCTGCTCCGCGACTGGTGAAACAATGTTCTGCTTTATATCTCCCAGGACGGACGGGGGCGATCGCGCAAGTTGATTTTCGTGAGTGGATTCTCCGAGAGGGCTTTGGACAAATCGAGCGTGAAAACGTCGCTTTTTCAGACAAACTACACGAGAAGAAAGTTGAGTGTCGTTGTCAAATGCAATTCCCGTAAAGCGAATTCTCTTCGCAGGCGCGAGATACTTTTTTTTTACTTTGCCCCTAGAAGTTTGTTATTCTTTATTGCTTTTCAATAATTATGCAGAATAATTGTAAATTCGCTGCCACGTATCGCAGTCCTTTGATCAATTTTGAAACGGATTTCTCTAACGAATATTTAATTGGATGTCGCTTTTTTCACGTCAATTTTTTAATATTCAATATTTTAAATGTCTAGATACTTTGAATAAAAATTCCATTTAATTAAAATATAGTTAAAATTAATTGAATAATAATTTTGCTAATTTAAAATATTTTTTATCCATTAATATCTCTGAAGATTTATTCTCCAAAGATTTTTCTATTATTAACGCGATTATTATTTCACTTTATATTTCAATTATTATGCCAAAAAATGATTTTATGAGATATTTCATTCTACATATATTCGTAAAATTTAAATTTAATGTGAAAGGTGTATATACAGTCTAACAAATTAAGGAGATACATAGGAAAAACTCATTAGGCACATGATATAAACTACGAGTAATCATAGCAACGTTAATGAAAACGTCTTGCACGAGCAATCTGAAATTTCACGACAGACTTAGGAGGAGAAATTGCTCGGGCGAGATCTTATAATTGCGTCTCAACAATTCAATCTAAATTAGCGGACGTCATAAACATTCCCGGCGCTGGCAGTTTGCGTTTGCCGCGGAAATGAAACAAAAATTTCTTTTACCGATAAAAGGCAGCTTACAATCGAGTAATGCAATTACCAAAGTATTATTCCTGCTTGGCCACGCAAAAACTCTATAAAGAATTATGAAATATTGCTCTCCTTAAAGTTTATTAAAACCACACTGCGATATTTTTTCTATTAAATTGCATAAATATATTTTTTTCTACAAGTTAAGAATAGGAACATATATCTTGAATCGAGAAATTCTACTTTGAAAGCACTTTATCTCTTGATTGATTACCGTAGCACAGGTGTATTGTTGAATCTCTCTTATTTCGGTGATTGTATCGAAGAAAGATATTTTATTTACGCGTAAAGCCAATTGCGAAATAATTTTATATAAATAAATATAATATTACATGTTATTTTAATTTTATTGTTTTATTATTTTGATTATTATTTTGAAAATAATTTTCATAATTCTATAATTATTTCATAATTTTTTATTTCCGTGTCTTTTCTATATATTTCTCAATACCGCAGCTTAATCAGTAATAACTTTCAATTAACGCCACACCTCCGCTTTCTCGCTATATTTTTCTGATGTCGATTAGTGCGGCGGCCCTGCCTATCTGGTTAGCAGCGCGTTAACGTTGCTTCGCTTAAATTACGCTTTCATTATCACGCTCTCGCTCTCAACGCGGAAACGTATGACACATACTTGATTGCTATTATCAACGGAGCGGAGAATGAGCATTTCTCTGAGTGTCTCTGTTAATCTCTGGTATTTAACAGTACGACGTGCAGGGATGATCCTTATCTTAAATTCTTGCGTATCTGTCAACTTCACATCTCGTTTAATTTAATACACTTTTACGGGCTACAATAATGCAACATTATTGCAATATTTCTGTTGTATTTTATTAGACAAAATAAAAATGACAAATTTGCAATTTTTCTCATAACAAAGATAAACATTAATGCGCGAATTTCATGTTTTACGCAAGCCTCAGTAATCATGCGCTTGTACGCTGTATGTAAAACATAGCAAAACTACATTATATAACAACGTTATTATGACTTTCCTAAATTTTGAAACTGGGTTTATTGTTATGAAAATGATATCAAAATTGAACAATAAACGCCGTAATATCGGCATCATCCAAATAAACTTTGTTATGTATAGAGAATATTATTTCAATTGACCAGTAGTGAAAACTTCATTACACCGTCATACAGGAGACTTCTATTATGCTTTCATGCTTGATGCGTATACTGAAATGAATCAATAAGCTTTCATTTATGCACTATTACCAGCGCCACTCTTTTTTTTTTACGAGAGCGCATCGCTTTGATTAAAAAATATCCTAACTATTAACCGATAAACAATAAACGACAACACTCGGTTCAATCATTCGTCCGCGGCGTTTTTTTTTCCCCCCGAATAAAAGCTCTCACGGGGGAAAGGGTTAAAAAGCCCTATTGATTTTCTCTCGTGGTCGCTGTTGCCAAGTTCGTACTGTAAGTTCGCATCGCGCGAGTTTTCCGTCATTGTACATTGCACGGCGGTGCGCTGGCGTGTATCGCGCGAAAGCGAAATAGGGAGGGTGGAAGAGCAAAAAGGAGAGAAAGAAAGGGACGCAGGAGGTTTCGTGATGGCCGTCGAAGAAGGGATGTAACTGCGCGACACGCGCCGACGAGGGGACGCTTAACGGATGGTAGGTGTGGCATTCGACGTATTTCTCGGCCCGCGGTCGTGTAATTATGCCTTGGACGGCGCGAGGCACGCATACTCTATATAGTGCGGTCCGATAATACGAAAATTTAATGGACCAGAGATTACCCCGACGCGTTGTTGAACTTGGCTTTGGTTTCGCGACGAGCACGTTTCCGGTCAACCTCAAAGACCTCGTTGGGCGCCTTATTCCTACTTCGATCGGGGGATCCTACTTGATCATCGAAGCGCGCGGGTTGCTTGCTCTGTCTGCTTGTTCGGTCTGTAATTCGAGGCGGTCCAATCCCGCTGATTGCGCTGATGAACATTCGATCCGCCGTCCGGCTGATTGGATTTCGCGATCCCCAACTTAAGACCGCAGCGGAAAATTTGAGGAACAGAAAATTGTAATTCTTCTTACATTGTGCTGACGGAATCTTAAAAATCGAATACTTTGGAATCTGTGGATCTCAACGTCTCAATATTCCAAGAATTTGGAAATTGGAAATTGGAAAAATGAATGTGATTGAGAGTAGACAATTTTGAACTAGAGAGAGATATGTGTGCAATATGTGTACACTTTTCAGTTTATCTACAAATTGATTAATTTTTCACTAATCTCACTTTCACATGAAAATCAATCTCTATAAGAAAGTTTTTTATAAAAAAAAACATTAGTAAGATTAATGTGTCTATTATTCATTTATTTTCAAGCGTGGAGAAAATTTTAATCTGTAGATTAGTTACATGCGTATAAATAAAAATAAAAAAAAAAAAGAAATGAATGGTTCGATTAAATATTTGCTTTAGAAAAATTGATTCTTAATTAATCAAAGAATTGTATAATAAATGAAAACAATACACAGAATGTTGCATTGTACTGTAAATAACGCAACTATTTGCATACTGCAAATAAAATCAAAGAATAATACGTGAAAAGCCGGTAAACATTTTATTTGAACACCGATCTCTGTATAAACATCCATCATGGATTCCTGGCAGAACCGGTGATCCAGGCTCTGGCAACTTTAAAGGAAATAAAACGCAGAGCAGGGCTGTGTCGAGTCTTCTTCTTTTTTTTTTGCTCGCGGGAAGGGAACGTCTAAGGGTGGATACATCAATCTCGATGTTTCTTCCTTTTCTGCAAGGAACTTGCTTTGCATACGCGAAGAGTGTTTCCTCGCGAGAGATTGGCGATACAGATCGCCCGTAGAGAGTGCAACATCGATTTATCGAAATTTCAATACTCGTCCATTCATTCGATTATTGAAACTTCGCAATTACAAATCGATCGTTACAAGCTTCTGTATGACGGCAAATTGAAAGGCTTACCAGGAGCTGTGAATGCACAGCACTGTGATCTACAAGAATTTTTTTGTTTAATTAACAATTGATTGTACGTCGACCATGTTCATTTATACCTATGTCTATTTTTTCGAATCTATTTATTCAGGGATCGTCTATTTCGCTGTGATCTTTGCAGATTAATCGAGAGAAACCAAATGCAAAAAATCCATTGCCTTTCTTTGTTTTTCAAATTATTTGTATATTCTCGTCACTTTGCACAGGATCTATTCTAAATTTTGTTTCTAGACATTATATAAAAAAAGCAATTTTTAAAATAACGATAATATTAATAATAGTACTGAAAAGATTGATTAATTATTTATTCTCTAATTGTTTTAATCGTCGGCCGTTTTAACGCCAAGAGATCAAATCCTGCTCTTGATAATTGAATAGAATATAGGGCAGCATGTCCGTGAAGAACACAATAAATCGCCCAGTGGATGAACTTCGACTTTTTTTCATGTCAAATTACCGTTAAATGTCAAGGAACGCAATCATGGTTCTCGATGTCTCGTTAAAAATGCCATGAGTGGTCCTCTTCGTACAAGAGGGTTTATTAAATTACTCGTTTTCTTCCTTTCCTTCTCGCGCGCTTCTTCGATAATTAGTAAATCCAATAATATCGCATTTTATTTGCTCTTCCTTCGAGATCGATACACGTTTTCCCGGCGGAATTGTG